TATTAACAACCCATTAACTAACACCACCCTGCTGAAAAATCCAGCTTAAACCAGCCTAGGCTGGTTGGCTGGTTTTACCTGGTTGACCAGCCTGGTTTTAGAGGGATTTTGGCCATTTCAAGGCTGGTTTCTAGCCATTTCCAGCCTAGTCTTAGCTGGTCTGGCTGGAAATTTGACCAGCCAAATCCAGCTAAAACCAGCTTGACCAATCTGGTTTAAGCTGGATATAGCTGGTTTTGGCTGGACTCCCGGCTGGTCAAGCTGGTTTTAGCTGGTCATCTCCCAGCCTGATCAGCTAAGACCAGGTTGGAAATGGCTGGAAACCAGCCTGGAAGTGGCCAAAACCCCTCTAAAACCTGCTTGGTCGACCAGCTAAAACCAGCCAACCAACCTAGGCTGGTTTAAGCTGGATTTTTCAGCAGGGTCTTCTGAATTATTTAGCCTGATGTTTACTGCTACAAATAGTTATAAATGTTTCTCAAAATAAAATAAATTATGTTCAAAGGGGGAAAAAGTGGTTGTTTTTTACCCAGACATTTAAAAAGAATATATTTTAGAGCAGTGATCACAATACCGTGATATATTTATGCAAGGTGATCATACCATCAGAATCTTATATCAGCCCATGCCTAATGCTGCATCCCTAATCCTACCCAAAACCTAAACACAACTTCCACCTTACTAACTATTAGTAAGCAGCTAATTAGTAGTTTATTAAGCTAGTAACCTGCTGAAAAATCCAGCTTAAATCAGCCTAGGCTGGTTTAAGCTGGATTTTTCAGCAGGGTAGTGTTAGTTAATGGTTTGCTAATACAGTGATCTCTTCCCCAGACCGGCGATATGCAGTCGTCCCGCAGTGCTTCCCCCTGGATGACCCCCTGGTGCCCAAATATCCCTCCATGCTTGTGTGGAGCTCCAGTGCTCTGCCATTCCCTGGGGTCTCCTCCAGCGTGTCCTGCCCCCCCGCACCCCTGGACCTGAGCTCTCCGTCCAGCAGCAGCAGCAGTGGAGAGGAGGATGACTGCCGCACATCTGACCCGCCCAGTCCAGACCCCAGTGACCGCTTCCAGTGCGCGCACTGTGGGAAGAGCTGCAGCAGCCCCGCTGCTTTGTCCCGCCACCAGCTCGCACACTGCAGCCCACAAGACGGCATCAGCGGAGCTACCAGCTCCCTCACCAGCTCCAGGGCCGCCTTCCACTGCAAACACTGTCCCAAAGAGTACAACAGCCTGGGTGCGCTGAAGATGCACATCCGCTCGCACACACTGCCCTGCGTCTGCAGCACCTGCGGGAAGGCCTTCTCCAGACCATGGCTGCTGCGGGGACACATCCGCACACACACCGGTGAGTTACAGAAGAGTAGAGCAGTGTTTCTCAACCACGTTCCTGGTTCCAGAGGCCCCGATTACACTAATGCGTTTTAGTTTGAAAACGTAAAGGTTTTGCTACGGTTACGCTATGCGTCTACACTACGCCGAAGTTTTCGAGCGCCGAAACAGAGCATTTTGGAAACGCTGGAGAGGCTGTTTTCATTCTGAAACGCTGCTGCTCCGTCTCAGTGTGGATGTGGGAAAACGGAGACATCTGAAAACGGAGGCGGGGCTGCCGACATTCGCTACCTGAATGGGGCTTTTGTGTCATAACAGTGGCGCAAAAAGGGGGTATGCAGTATATGCGGCGCATAGGGGCGCCACACATGGGGGGGCGCCATTGTGCCAAAACTATTTTCGAAATGATCCTTACTAAAAGTTTCAAATAAAAAAAAAAATAAATAAATATGTTTTGTTAAAAATGTTTTTTTTGCATTTTGTATGAGTATAATATTGTATTTTAATAAATAAAAAATTATACCATGAGTTGCATACGTTGGCACACACATTTTGATTCAAAATCAACACAATAACATGCAGTCGCAGAGCCAAGTGTAAAGTGTTCATGTAAATGTAACTTTAGATTTTTTTTTTTTTTACAATTTTTATCAAAATAAAACTGTCAAATCATACATACAGTACAGTTGAGGTCAAAAGTTATAAGATTAATCTGAATTTTTTCTTTATTTATTATTAATTATTTAATTATTTTGCCTAAATAAGAGGGATCACACAAAATGTATGTTTATGTAAGTACAGACCTATTTCACATAAACCGATATTTCAGATAAAATATTTGGATTAAAAATTCACCTATATAAATATTATATACTTGATTATAATGATTCTTAACCCTGTTAAAGTTGACACATGAACAAATTGTCTAAATATTCACATTTTTTGGAACTGAAATGTTTTTAATCCTTCTATCAAGATCCATTTTATACAATATACATGTTTTTATAAATTTATTATGTGTCATATTGATACATCCGGCCTTTTGGTAACTTTTTTTGTTCAAAACTATTTTATTTTAGTTACAAAACTTGAACCCGCATACCTCTCAGTATATGTGTAGTTGCGCCCCTGGTGTCATTGCATATCCTTCCCTTATTGGTCAAGCCCCTATCACATGACTATAACACATGGCTTTAACGCTACCGGAAGACAGTACTGTAAACAACAACACGGACACAGAAATGGGAGCGTTGTTTGCACTATTGTCTGTTTTAGGCGCCATTGTGCAGTTATTCATTTGGTACAAAAAAAACTGTGAACTGTTTGCTTGTGAAATGCTAATTTTTACCACTTAGACTTACTTTGCGTCCTGTAAATAGCGAATGCGCTCTTGGCGCGAAGCAGCTGGCTCTTAAAGGGAATGGGAGATGAGATTCTAATTGGTTTATTCTCAAAACACACCTATAACTCATTAAGAAAATAAAATCAACCCTTTTAGAACATGCGTCGTGGCGCAAGGCAGATTTCCCGTCCTTAAATTAGCAAAAACGCGTCCTGACACGCCCTGAAAGCGTTTGCGCCCTGCGTTTTGCGCTCTGCGCATGGACCGTCAAAATAGAGCCCAATGTATTCAAAAATGATCAAACTGTTTAACTCTAAGGGAGCTTTAAAATGAGGCTCTTTTAAAGCGGAGTGTGCTTTAAACAGCGAGTTCTTCCTCTGCAATGCACCAGCAATCACCCAGAGCAACTGTTTTGGGTTTTCATGCATAATCATGTTGTATTTGTACCCATCATGTGTGTGTGTATACTAAAAACACGACTCTCTATCTGTGTTTGAAGGCGAGCGTCCGTTCTCCTGCCCTCACTGCAACCGTGCATTCGCTGACCGCTCGAACCTGCGGGCTCATCTGCAGACCCACTCCGAGGTGAAGAAGTACCAGTGCGGGTCGTGCTCTCGGACCTTCAGCCGCATGTCTCTCCTGCACAAGCACACACTGTCCGGCTGCTGTCCGGCGCTCTAGTGGACACACACCGCCTCAGTGACTAAATGAACTGTGTTCAACCACAAGGTGCCTTTCTTTATTCCACAAGCCAAAGGAGAGATGTTATTTTTCTACACAGAGATCACCTGTCAGCCATATTTGCAACGTTTAACTCATGCAAGACCAAAGTCCTGTCTATATGAACGGGGGAAATCTTGAAAACTGCTTACTGAACTCTCAAGTAAACACATATTTCAATTCAGCAACACAATCTAAAGTGACCTGCCCTATTAATGTAGTCGCTTTGGACTTAGTCACATTTAAAACACAGAGTTTCTGGTTTGGTCCAGCTAAAGTGTGCATGCAACGATTGGCACAACGCTAATCTCCTTTACGGCTGTTTCACAGGTAACCAGAGGATGCTGTTATTAACCCTTAAGGACTGGAGGATGACTCTAAAGGACAGGATATGGGATGGGATGTGCTGTGATGAGTTTTCTCCTGCCGTAATCAACGCAGACACACAGTAATGGACAAACGACAGGGTGTGCCTTAAAGGGGAAGTGAAGCACTCGGTCAAGTTTACATTATTTTGTACATTGGATTCCACTTTAATGAAAATATAGTAAACAAACTCGATTAACGTAACCATTTAGCAGAAAACAGCACGTTTCATCAAAGATCGTAGACCTAGGGTGCCGCCATCTTGGAATGTCTCTCTGTGTCTGATGTCATGGGGTTGGTTCCTTTCCCTCAGCTGAACAGATGCAGAAGAAAAGGACTGAACATGGAGGCTGGATAGCATAATTTATACCAATGTGTGAAGGACGTGGAGCTGCTGGAATGTGTGCGTCAGACACGGCGACATTCAAAGATGGCGGCATTCTAGCTCTAAAATCTATAGTAAAACATGCAGTTTTCTGCTAAATGGTTACATTAATCGAAATTGTTTACTATATTTTCATTAAAAAGGAATCCAATGTACAAAATAATGTAAACTTGACTGAGTGCTTCATTTCCTCTTTAACAAACAAACTTTAACAACAATCTGTACAAACCCCTCCCCCACAGAACCACGTGACTATACAGACTTGGCTATTTTGACTGGAAGGCGGGACTTTCTTCGCTATGGCAGCCATTCTGAGCGTTGCACTTTTTCCCATTCAAAACAATGCAACTAAACTGTGTCTATCAATAGTTTAGGTTTTACCTTGCATGCCTTGACATGGTGTCCAACCCAGTCTGCAGGTTTGAAGGGTCTAGCCTGGCTCTGATGGATTCTTAGGATGCACCTCGGTGCCGGCTGGTCCGGGCCTGTAAGGCACAGCTGCTGTAAAGTGTGTGTGTGTATGGTGAAGACTCGTCTCTCAGCAAGATCTGTGGGGATGTATTGAGACAGCTGTTGCAGCGACACATGCACTGGCTCTCGGCGTCCGCTTATCTCCTGAAAGGCACACCAAAGACCTGTTTTAATAAGAAGCTCAATTAGGCTGAGGAATTCTCTCTGTAATTCGATCTTTGAGGTATTGTGGCCATTGGCTTCTCTTAAATGCACAGTCTGACTCGGCGGCTCTGTGTTTTATTCTCTTCTTAAAGGTGTCAAAAAGAGAGCCGTTTGGGATTTGGAGGAGGGTTATGTACAAAATCTCTTGCTTAAAGGGGTAGTTTACCCAAAAATAAAAAAAATGACTCATTATTTACTCGCCCTCGAGTGGCTCCAAGTTGGTTTTCTTTCTTCTGTTGAACACAAAAGAAGATATTTTGAAGAATGTTGGAAATCTGTAACCTGTAAATCTTGATGTCTATAGTACTATACTGTAAAACCCAACAGCCAACTTTATCTAAGTAAATGAGTTTAGTTAACTTAAAATTGACTGTAAGTTAATTCTACTCATTTGAAAAGAGTTTTGAACTCAGTGTTGAAGGTAATGAGTTAATTAAATACCTCATTACTTAAATGGAGTAAGCTTACAGTACTCATATAGATTAGTTTAACTCTATCTGTTTGAGGAAACTGATTGCTACAAACTATTGGAGTTGCCTTAACCTACTGGGTTTTACAGAGTTCTTTTCATTTATCGGGTTTTACTGTGCTCAAACTGCTTCGTTTACTCAAATGGAATAAGTTCACAGTACTCATTAGGATAAGGTTTTAAACTTAAATGGTTTGTTGCAATTGGTTTCCTCAAATGGCTTGAGTTACCTTAACTTTTTGGGTTTTACAGAGCACTATTGAAGTCGATGGCTGTTTTTACCCCGTCATTATACAGCATATCTTGTTTTGTGTTCAACAGAGGATAGAAAGAAGCGTTTTTTTTGTGTTTTTTTTTTATTATTTTTTTCAGGGTTTTCACCTTTATTGGATAGGAAAAGGAAAGTAGAGAGAAGGCGACGCAGTGGTGCAGTGGGTAGCACGTTCGCCTCACAGCAAGAAGGTCGCTGGTTCGGTTGGCGTTTCTGTGTGGAGTTTGCATGTTCTCCCTGCGTTTGCGTGGGTTTCCTCCGGGTACTCCAGTTTACCCCACAGTACAAACACATGCGGTACAGGTGAATTGGGTAGGCTAAATTGTCCGTAGTGTATGAGTGTGTGAGTTGATGTGTGTGTGGATGTTTCCCAGAGATGGGTTGCGGCTGGAAGGGCATCCGCTGCGTAAAAAACTTGCTGGATAAGTTGACGGTTCATTCTGCTGTGGCGACCCCGGATTAATAAAGGGACTAAGCCGACAAGAAAATGAATGAATGAATGAATGAAAGTAGAGAGAACCGACAGGAAAGTATGGGGAGCAGAGAGAGAGGGGAAGGATCGGCAATGGACCACGAGGCGGAATCGAACTCGGGTCGCCGTGAGCACCGGAGTGCATGTGTTGACGCCCCAACCACCACACCACTGACGCCGACAGAAACAAGCGGTTTTTGAACAAGCGGAGGATGCATAAATGATGACAGAATTTTCATTTTTTTGGGGTGAACTGTCCCTTTAAGGTCTTCCATAAAGTCTGTATCATCTGCTGCGCTGTGGACATATTTTTTCCAAAGCCACAGTGCTTTATATGAAACGTTTGTCTTCATGTTGGTTATATGTTGGACCTTTGAGGCAAACCAAATGCTATGCAATCTTTTTTTGACCATTGACAATGTTTTCGTGTATTTCTACTTGTATTTCTACAGTTTTTTTGTCCAATAAAGTAATTTATGTTTTTTGTTCAAGACGAAAGGGACTGATTTGTGTTTTTTATTAATTTTTATTAGAATGGAAAGGGGTAATAATGAATCATTAAATGAATAGTTACTGTCAGGGGCGGCGCAAGGGGGTGGGTGGTGGTTGGGGGGGTGAGTAAGGACAATTCTAAGGGCCCATACTATTAGGGGGGCCCCAGAGACATTATCAAGGGCCCGCACAAGTCCAAACCATCCAAGGATTTTGTAGGATGTGAAGAGATATATCAATTATCAAAATACTGGTGTATTACACTATTAAAAAAATATGGTCGTTTACCATAAAATATAGACAATTATTTGAAAAATCTAGCTTAAACCAGCCTAGGCTGGTTGGCTGGTTTTAGCTGGTCGACCAGACTGGTTTTAGAGGGGTTTTGGCCATTTCCAGGCTGGTTTCCAGCCATTTCCAGCCTGGTCTTAGCTGGTCAGGCTGGGAGATGACCAGCTAAAACCAGCTTGACCAGCCTAGCCAAGCTGGTAGTCCAGCCAAAACCAGCTATATCCAGCTTAAACCAGGCTGGTTAAGCTGGTTTTAGTTGGACTTGGCTGGTCATTTTCCAGCCTGACCAGCTAAGACCAGGCTGGAAATGGCTGGAAACCAGCCTGGTTTTAAAGGGGTTTTGGCCATTTCCAGGTCAACCAGCTAAAACCAGCCAACCAGCCTAGGCTGGTTTAAGCTGGATTTTTCAGCAGGGTTCAAACCCATTTGTGCATATATGTGGCTGTTTTAATGTACAAACCAACACAAGCTATAATAAACCGCTAAGGAATGCTTTAAAACAGAAGTAAACATTTCTTGAGCTCAGTTATTTATATCTGACTAGTAGCGTCTAGACACAGTCAGATATTTTGAGTGATGGTCCGAACACCTGCGCTCACTTTCTGCTTAGCCTGACGCTGACACAACCCCAACATCTACAGCAGACACATGGCCAGCAAATGTTCAAGCCTGAGACCCTGCAGGTGGAGGAAGAGCGAGAGGGAGGATGAAGACTTGCAGAAGCCCATATAGTCTGCACCATTAAGGCCAGTGGGTCCAGCTCCCAGCTCCAGATCTGTCAAACACATAGATATGCCTCCCCGAGGGGAAATTTAATAAATGTGGGAAATGCCAGCAATCTGTGCTTTGAATGTGGCCGAGTGCTGAGGTTTTAAGTTCTGTAGACTCCTCCGCAAATCAGGCTTTCTCCAGCAGTCTGAATCCGCAAAGCCCCTGTGACCCGCGCTGACGCCAGCCAGTCGAGCTGCAGTAATGATGCACTTCCTCTGCTGATCTGAGGAGCTGGAGGAGGACATGCTTAAAGAAACACTACACGTTTTTTTTTTTTGGAAAAGGCTAATTTTACGACTCCCCTAGAGTTAAACTGTTTAGTTTTATCAATTTTCTAAGTCCACCATGCTGAAAAATCCAGTCTAAACCAGCCTAGGCTGGTTTAAGCTGGTATTTTTAGCAGGGCAATCTCGACGTCTGGTGAAAAAACGTTTAGCTTAGCCTAGCTTAGCATAGATCATTGGTTCAGATTAGACCATTAGCATCCCACTCAAAAAATAAAAATAAACAGTTTCAATAAATTCTTTCCTCTTCTGTAGTAACATTGTTTACTAAGAGCGACTTTTCATTTTCCATTAGCAGGATTATTGCTGTATTTTGAGTACTATTTACTTAAATGGCGGCACAGTGGTTAGTGCTGTCGCCTCACTGCAAGAAGGTCGCTGGTTTGAGCCCCATCTGGCCGAGAGTGCATCCGCTGTGTAAAACATTTGCCAAAATAGTTGGCAGTTCATTCCACTTTGGTGATCTCTGATAAATAAGGGACACACACGTTTCTGTGTGTGTGTTCGTATATGTGTATATGTGTCTCTGTGTGTGAGTCTGTGCATGTGTGTGTGGGCTGTATGGTCAGATCTGATTGGTGTTCAGCAGAAAAGAGTGTTTGGGGCTCCTGGTTTGATGTGGTCATCCTGAACTGGAGACACGCAGCACTGAGGGCTTGGTAGATCATGTTCACAGACAGATGACAGCGCTGTGTGGGAGTCTGGATGGGTGAAGTCATCCTCTTTCAGCCCTGAGTCTGAACTGATGTCCCGAAACACGGCCCTGTGCCTGTGAGGCCAGAGATCTGATGTCGGTGCAGTGTGGGGGCGCTGACCTCTTATCAACACTCTTTTCTTGCTTTCCGTCAGAACTAACAAATATCCATACTTTAGAATAAAAACATTATTCTTTATTTAACCGTTTAAAAATAATAAGGGATAAAAAAAATTACAGTAAACTACCATATTTGATCGATACTATTAATACACCAATGTTTTGAAGTACTCACATCTACACTTCATATCTTCGAAAAATGTTAGGTACGTAACAAAAAAGTCTGCAATTTTATGGTAAATTACCGTATTACATATATTTTTCGTCATATACCAATGTTTTAAAGCAATGGTTCTCAAAGTGGGGGTCGGGACCCCCCGAGGGGTCGCGGGACAATGAAGGGAGGTCGCCTGGTGGTTTCCAAAAATCTATTTATTTTTATTAAACCATAAGAATTATCATATTTTATCCATAACCTTCTGAAGGGAAAAAATAGTTGTTTATACCATATATAGTTACTATAGTAGCTTATAGTTACTACTTCTATTGGATTGCAACCCCTGGCGTAATTGCATTGTATTAAAGACACAGCAAAAGCATCAGATGCAGCAGATTTCATAACACCTGGTTAAACTTTGTGGCGCATTTACAGCTCTCATACATAATAAAAAATTAAAAGAAGAATAGACTTGGGTTCATTGGTGTGTGTGTGCCATTGCATGCAAGGTTTCTGTATGTATAACCTCCTCAGAGGATATTGGGGGTCACGGGTCACTGGTATTGTCATTTTGGGGGTCGCGGCCTGAAAAGTTTGGGAACCCCTGTTTTAAAGTACTAACATCTACACATCATACATTTATACATGAGACAGTGAAATGATGAACCCAAGCTCATCACAAACAAATTTTATAAGTATAATAATAATAATTCCTTACATTTATATAGCGCTTCTATGGACACTGAAAGCACTTTACACATTGGTGGGAATCTCCTCATCCACCACCAGTGTGCAGCATCCACCTGGATGAAGCGACGGCAGCCATATTGAGCCGCACACCACACACCAGCTGATTGGTGGAGAGGAGACACTGAAATCGAAATCGCCTACTACTCAGTAGGTTCTGCATTTGAATTAAAACGTACTACTCGGCCATAATAAAAGTGCGTTCTCTACAGTATGAATGTGAGCAGTATGAATGGATTTCGGACGTACTACATCCGACATTTTGTCATGGTCACGTGACCTACCTGCGTCAATTGCGTCGCTTCACTCCTATTCATGAACTCTTTCGTTGAGCACCATGGGATAGCGCAGTGTGCATGGGATGTGAATCAGAATTCAGAATCTCGCCGGAAGTAGTAAGACATCCGGGTACTTCTCGTATTCCATGAATTCGGACATACTACTGGGCTCACATACTGATTTTAGCATACTGTATAGTATGGAAGTATGCGGTTTCAGACGCAGCCAGAGTTATGTAGCCATTTATGATCTGGGGATGGTTAGGAGTGCATGATGGATGGAGTCCAGAGGGCTTTTAAATTTAGCCAGGATGCAGAGGTTAAACCCCTACTCTTTTTTTTTTTTTGAAGGACATCCTGGGATTTTTAACGACCACAGAGAGTAAGGCCTCGGTTTAACGTCTCATCCGAAAGACGGCGCTCACTGAGCAGTTTAGAGTCCCCGTCACTATACTGGGGCATTAGGACCCACACAGTCTACAGGTTAGGCGCCCCTTGCTGGCCTCGCTTACAACACTTCCAGCAGCAACCTAGTTTTCCCATGTGGTCTCCCATTCAGGTACTGACCAAGTGCAGCCCTGCTTAGCTTCAGTGGGCGACCATGTGAGAGTTGCAGAGAGCTAGCTGCCAGCTTTCACAAAAAACCTTATATAGGAGATACTGAGTGTCATTCACACAACTACTAAACACCATCATGGCAACACAAATGGCACTAATGCAAAAAACTTTATTTATCGACATTAGAACATAAAAAAAACAACTTGAAATGTACAGTAAAATGGCAGCTGTGGTTGCCAAAACTTTACAATTAAAAATACGGTAGATACACACATTCACACTACTACTAAACACCATCATAGTACCACACGACACTAAAGTAAAGCAATAAATATTGTTTATCAACATGTAACATAAAACTATTTGCCAAAATCAAGTGAGTTTTCTTAAAACAAGCAAAATAATCTTCCAATGGGTTAAGCAAAGGATTCTTATGTCACAAGGAAAATCAAGATTATTTTGCTTGTCTTAAGATAAAACTCATATAATTTTGGCAATTTACTTCTTAAAACAAGCCTTTATTTTGGTTTTCGAGAAAATGCTTCTTGAATTAAGATAGGATGTTTAGATATTTGGACCAGAAACAAGACAAAAACTCTGAGTAAGAAAAGCATTTTATTTGTAGTGCACCTCTCTTTTCTCCTCGTCTTTGGCTCCTCCTGTGCTCTCTCTGGACTCTCGGACACAGGAAATGTCTTGTCAGCTCTATATAAACACTGGCCTCATTGCAGCACTGATAAAAAACATCTGAAGCAGAGAAGCTGGAGCTGAAAATGGCAGAAATAGTTCAACCAAAAATAAAAGTTCTGTCATCCTTTACTCTCCCTCATGTCCATCCAAAACCAGAATGACTCATGGAGACCTGCTGCATTAAAGGGATAAATCCCCCCAAAATGGAAATTTCTTGTTAATTGACTCACCCACAGGTCATCCAAGATGTAGGTGATAGTTTTTTATCAGTATGGCATTAGCGAAGGTTTTGAGCTAAATCTTTGGTGATTCATATAATGGCAGTGAATGGTGACAGCTTTTTTTCTGTTTAAAAATAAACACATACAGACGAATCCAAATTAATAGCCAAAGGCTCCACACTGAGGTCTTGAGAA